AAAGTTCCAGCTATTTGCCTCAGGCACCACTAGTTTAGCAATAAATTACAGAAACGGCTTGGCGGATATCTGTCAAAAACTAATCAGCACAAATTCAAATTAAAAAATCTTTTGAATTTTCAAAATCGATTCAAGATTTTAGGCTAAAACGTGGACGAAACCTTGTACACTTTTTTCTACCAAAAATTTACCAGTGCAAGATCTTGCAAGTTTCATCAAATTGCATTTACATTTTTGAAATCAGTTCAGCCGTTTTTGGGAAAACGTCGATGAAGGGTCTGTTCAAAAAAGCGATGTTTGAAACTTTGATGATTTTTTTATAATTAAAGGACTTATCATAGGCCTGTAATATTTTAGGGTAACCTTTGAGATCGATTCACGATTTTGGAATGCAAAATAGATGAAAAATTTTACACTTTTTTACAATTTACCAAGAAACTGCTCGGCCGATCGTCGCGCTAAAAAGCTGAAAACGTTAGTCCTTATCAAGTTACATCGAATTGTTTTAAATTTTTGAAATCGGTTCAGCCGTTTAAAAAAAAAAAAACGAAAAAGGGTAAAAAATCTGTTCGCACACACACACACACACTTTTTCCAAATTGGGTCTTATTCGAATCAGAATGACTTGAAACGTCGAGAGAACAAAATTAGCAAATTGGTTTTTCTAGCAAAAACAAACATTTCATTCAGGCAGTTAATAAAAGCAAAGAGCACTTGCAATTTGATTATCCTAATAAATATAATATAATTAATAATAATTCTTAACAACATCAATATTTGCATTTATATATAAATGCACATCAGAACTAAATTAACTAAAAGAACAATTGAATATTTTTAGCAGGTTTCTAACATTTGTGAAACATTTGTGTAATTTTTTGGACAAATTTGTATCAAAAAAACCAACTGTATGATTTGGCAACTTTCGCAAAAGATGTCAATGCGTTTATTTAATGCTGTTATGTAGTTGAATGAAACAACCTTCAGCACAACGTTCTTTGAATAAATGTTATCTAGAATGAAGTAAAGTCAAGTTGAAGAAAATCTATATTGGATGATTCCATAAACCAGATTCCTATGGTGTTGGATATAAAAGAAGTTTTTGTTCTGTTAAAAACAGTATTACATCAAATTGTTAACCGCAGAGTCTTGATTTAAAAAAGAAGACAAACAAGTGGTACCAGAGTGAGTCTTCAAGTTAGAAAATTAAAATTTTATATTGTATTTAGATGTGTTTTTTGTTCTGCCAATATTTTTGTTTTTATATGTTTTTATGTTGCTGAAGGCATTCTATTGAATTTTGGCTAGTTTCACCAATGTGTATTAAACAATAGTACAAGTGATTGATTGCATAAACCAGATTCTAATATGTTGGATATTAAAAGAAGTTCTGTTCTGTTGTAAAAACAGAATTATGTCAAATTGTTAACCATCAAAGTCTTGATTTATAAAAGAAGACAAACAAGTGAAGCCATTGTGTGTCTTCAAGTTAGAAAAAATATTATGATCAATGGTTTTGTTAATTTTATTGTTTACAAAAGTCCTATTGTTAGTTATGGAAATAATTGAATTCAATAGGTATGAGTTGTTAAAAAACATTTTCAAAAATAATAACATAATATGATGAATAACTATCAATTCATGTTGTCTCATTCTCTTATTGTGATGTTTGGGCAATGTATTGTTTGTCACATTTTTGCAAATGATTGAATAAACTAAGTTAGTGTTAAATTTAGGAGAGGTGGTAGATTTAATTTTTAAAAACATTTCTTTAAAAGAACAAAGATGTTCTTGAAATGAAAATATTCTTCTTCTTTATATTATTATTATATATATATATATATATATATATATATATATATATATTATATATATATATATATATATAATAAAATTCTACTTACATCTTCTTCAACATGAAAGGGATGATTCTGCGAATCCAAAGTTTTAACCGTCAAATCAATCATCATTTTATCTTCCTAGAACAAACAGAATAAAAAGAAGTATTACACCAACTTAAATATACAAAATACTAAATATTAAATACTCAACAATAAACTCTCAGTTATTTCAATCGTTGTATTCGAAGCCTAAAAATTAAATTGATGTCAATATTGAAAATATTGATAGGGATAAAAATATTGTATATAAGGATTGTCCAAATAAAAAAAACTGGAACTCTGGTTTAAAAAAACTGGTTATTTCTAAATAAAATATTGTTGTAATTAATGAAGGAAAGCAAACAAATAACTTTGGGAATTTAAAAATTATAAAATAGAAGCTTAATACCCATAACAATTCTTAACAAAATAATATTATTGATATTGAGTTTTACAAGATGTATGTAATTAATAATAATATAAATCTCATTAGTCCTTTTGTAACTACCATGAATGAAGTGTTAAAAATATTATACAAAAATCAATCTTACAGTTAATTTCCTAAAGAAAATGACCACTTTTAATTCTAAATGTGTTATCAATTTAAAAAAATTTATTTTTATTATTTAAATGTTTATCAAGTACGCAATCGTTTCAAGAAAAGTCTTTACTGTAATTTGTCTGTCTTAATCATTTAAAAAAATATGGTTTATGATCACAAAAGATCATACTCCAGTTTGATTTACAAAATAATTTTATGTCATGTTGTAATAATATGTCTTCTTAGTCAGTGAAAAGTGAAATTTATGAACCAATTCTATCGTGTAGCAGACCAATGTTATGGCAAGGGTGTGCTATGAAGAACTTCATACTAAATATTGACTAAAGCAATGTGGTTGCTATGCAGTCAGGCGTTTTTCTCAAGTTGTCAGATAGAAAACCTGAGACCGCACAAATGTCAAAAAAACGATCTTAGATAACAGGGTCTTGCTGACCCAGCTTCACAACATACAAGTGACATTGCAGTTTATGTGTAAAACGCGAATGCACAGCAAATACATGACATTTTGACAGAATTCAGTATGATTCAGTAGCATAATGTATGCAAGTTGGGCGGTAACATGGCCTTGCCATAACATTTGTCTGCTATGCGGCAGAATCAGTCCCTAGAAAGAAAATTATAAGTTGAATGATAAATATAATAAGTATAAAAGTTTATACTAGTATAATAACTGTGACATGAAAAAAATCAGTAAAATTGCTGGACAACAAGTGTGTTAATTTATATGTTCTGTCAATTACATGGAAATTAAAATAAAGAAGGTGTAATTAATCTTACGGTTATAATTTACATAAGATCATGTTGAAGACTGCATGATAAATATATATTTATCACATAGAGACAGGACTAAAACTCATAGGCCAATTCTACTGTTGTTATGGCAACACTATGTTTTGCTTGTTTCT